CTTTTGATCAGTCAAATATAATGTAGTACAGTCATAAAGATAAAGTGTTTCCTTGTTTTTAGAACTTTGCAAAGAAGTAGTTCTTACACTGAAGTGGTTATTGGATATAGAGTTTGGGACGATTTAATCTGCTAATATACTTAGTTTATATCTTTTCCTTTTTGGGGGGGTACACAGTGCTGATTTGATTGGCTAAGAAAACTGTCTTATCTGGTAGCTGGTAGCTTCTGTGGCGTGAAATGCAGTTGCTGACAACTTTTAATTCATAACAAGTCTGTTAATTTGTTCCTATAAATTTAATATGCTAATACAATTGAGTAACTTGAATCACTTCAGTTAAATTTAACTACTATTAGGTGTTACAAAATTTACTATTTAATGTGACTATATTTAGTGGATAGATACTCAGTTGTTTCAGCGTCATTTGTTGAAAAGACTGTTCTTTCCCTACTGAATGTTATGGCACTGTCATTGGAAATCAGCTGACCATAAATGTAAAGACTGGGTGTTGACTGACACCAACTGATTCTCTGACACCAACTTGGCATCTAACCAAGTTGACGCTTAACTCCTGGAATTAGCGTCAGACCCCACAGGTTGAAGGCTCAGTTCTATAAGACTGACCCCATTTTGAATTCCAGCTGAAAATGAGATTCCCAGGCTACCCACATTTCTGTCTGGCTGACTACAAATTTGAGCCTTCCATGACCCCCTATTAGGTTTAATAATTTGCTAGAATGACTCAGAGACCTAAGGGAAACACTTTACTTACATTTACCAGCTTATTATAAAGGGTACAACTCCAAATGAAAGAGATACATACAGCAAAATATGAGGAAGGGGGTGCAGAGTTCCCATAACTTCTCTGAGCATGCCACTCTGTCAGCAGCTTGATGTGTTCACCATTCCAGAAGCTCTCAGAACGCTGTTGTTTAGGCAAGTTTTAATGGAGGTTCCATTTCATAGACAAGATTGATGAAATCACTGGCCGTTGCTAATTAAACTTGATCTTTAGCCCTGAATGGATAAGTCATCTCCATTACTTATTCTATAAGATGTGAGTGTTTTATTAGGGACCTTAATGGTTACTTCATCCCTTAGGGATATTGTGAACAAGTTACTTTGATAGATTGTCTTTTGATCAAATATAATACAGTACAGTCATAAAGATAAAGTGTTTCCTTGTGTTTAGAACTTTGCATAGAAGTAGTTCTTACACTGAAGTGGTTGTTGGATATAGAGTTTGGGACGATTTAATCTGCTGATTAAATCTTTTCCTTTTTTGGGGGGTACATCTTTTCCTTTTTTGTTTACATCTTTTCCTTTTTTGGGGGGTACACAGTGCTGATTTGACTGGCTAGGAAAACTGTCTTATCTGGTAGCTTCTGTGGTGTGAAATGCAGTTGCTGACAACTTTTAATTCATTACAAGTCTGTTAATTTATTCCTATAAATTTAATATGTTAATGTAATTGAGTAGCTTGAATCACTTCAGTTAAATTTAACTACTATTAGGTGTTACAAAATTTACTATTTAATGTGACTATATCTAGTGACTTTTTCTCTCTCTTAAGCACTTTACTGACTTTAAATGGAATATTAGTTATCTGTTGGTGTATAGTAAAATTATCCCAAAATTTAGTAGTTTAAAACAACAGTAAACATTATTATCTCTCACATTTTCTACAGGCTAGGAATTTAGGAACAACTTAGCTAGTAGTTCTGGCTTAGGCTCTCTTGTGAGAATGTGTAAAGATATTGGGGGCCTCTCACAAGAAGGCCACAATCAAAATGTTAGACATGCTGCAGTCATCTGAAAGCTTGACAGAAGCTATCAGGTCTCTCTTCAAGGTGGCTTGCTGTCCTTGACTGAAGAGTCAGTGCTGGTTGTTGACAGGAGACCTCAGTACCCGTCCACCTGGCCTCTTCATAGGGTTGCTTGAGTGCTGTCTTTGTATTGTGACTAACTCTCCACAGAGTGAGAGATCTAAGAGACAATGGGGAAAGGGGCAATGTGTTTCATTACCTAGCCTTGTAAGTCAAACATTTGCACTTCCGCAGTACTCTGCTAGTTAGACAGGCCAGTCCTGATTCCGCGATTCAATTTGTAGGAGACTGCAAAGGGATGAGGAGCAGGCAAGGATCATTGGGGCCGTTTTTGGAGGCTGACTACCACAAATGGATTTCTCTGAGTTTTAGGAAAGTAGACATACTTCGGTGGTAAACTTAGCAAGTTATATTTTAGGAGAATGTTTAGCTTTTTTGAGTAAACCATAATCTATGAATGTTTTTAAAGGGGCTAATTTTATGCTAGTTTTTCATATTCCAAGCAAGTGTTACAAGTGAGGAAATATGTGGGTCTTTTTTTTGCAGATTATTTAAAATATCTGACAGTATATATGGGAGTGCTTATTCTAATGAAAGTGAATTGGACTCTCACATTGGCTCAGTGAAAATTGTACAAACAGAAATGAACAAAGGGAAATTAAGGAACTATAGCAATAGTAGGCAGAAATTTCAATATTCTGCAAATGTGTTTACAGCAGATAATGCTTTTTTTGCTTCTGAAATCGGAGAAGGCATGTTCAAAGACCATCTTTTCCAGTTGCTTTCCAGCCTCATGATATTCAAAGTAATTTCTTGCTTTTTCAGTTCGTTTTATGAGTACAGACTAATCTGCATTTCTCAGCATATGGGAAAATGTAAAAATACAGTAAATTTGAGTAGATTATCTCTCTGTGCAATTTCTGCATTTTTTATTATGTTGCATTATTTTCTAAGCTGGGCTGTGTGTTAAAATATTTTATCCTGTGTGCTAAAAATATTTTTAACTTTGATCTCAATAAAAAGTTGTGTTAATTTTATTGAAACAGTTTTTATGGAAAGGTTAAAAATTCATTTCAGGTCCTAGCTTCTGACCATTACATTTTTTTTAATGTTTATATAAATATGTAGGATTTTTTTTCAGAGGTAACAGAAAATGGTTTAGGTTCCTTGAAGGCTGTCACAGAAATTCGTATCCTTTAAGTTATTTACAATAGCTGCTTTATATTTATTAAATCATAATTTTAAAACATTTTGTTTAATTGTGTTTCTGTTTATTTTGGTTGATGGAGAAAAAGAGGGAAAAGTTAACCTTTTTGGTAATGTAAGAGGTACATGTGGCCAGGTGCAGTGGTCAACGCCTGTAATTCCAGTACTTTGGGAGGCCGAGGCAGGCAGATCACGAGTTCAGGAGTTCGAGACCAGTCTGACCAACATGGTGAAACCTCGTCTCTACTAAAAATATAAAAAATTAGCTGGGCGTGGTGGTGTGTGCCTGTAATCCCAGCTACTCAGGAGGCTGAGGCAGGAGAATTGCTTGAACCTGGGAGGCGGAGGTTGCAGTGACCTGAGATTGTGCCACTGCATTCCAGCCTGGCAAAAGAGTGAGACTCCATCTCAAAAAAAAAGAAGAAAAAGAAGTATGTGTGTGATAGTACTACTCAAGGTGTGACTGCAGACTGGTGCCAATTTGTGAACTGTTTGTTATCAGTTTATGACAAGTTCAGTACAGAAGTCAGATTTGTATTATTGGCAGAACTCTGAGCATATTTACTTACAAATAGGTACAGATAACTTCTCATCCTTTGAGAAAGAGCAGCCAAATTGGGTTGAACTGGGCAGGGGAAATGGATGAGAATGGGATATTGTATGGATTGGGGACATTTCCACAGATCTAGTATTTTTGAAAATCTAATTTGGAGTTTATACATAGGATCCAAGTTTCATGTCTGGGCATTTCCAGCATAAATATTTTGAGTACATTTGTGTGTTCTGGAGGTAACATTGTCTTTGCTTCTTTAATACCCTTTGTATGCCTATAATAGTGCATTTATTCTGTTTTAATTCACCAACAGTTTACGTGACTATTTCCCCATGATCTATGAATTATTTGAAGGCAAGGATCATGACTTACTTACCTGCCTATTTCCAAATACATTGAAAGGCAAATAAAGTAAGGCAGGTAAAGTAAGGAAATTGTTCTGGCAAAAGTATAGACATAAGCAAGGGTGAAGGTAAAAAAGTATGAAATACATTTGGAAAGAATAAGCTTTCCAGTTTGACTGAAGGGAAAGATATGATTAAAGAAGTAATAAGAAATGTTAGCTAGTTATCTTAGGATCATATCATATAATGTCATGAATACCAAAGTCAAAAGTTTATTTTATTTTATTTTTATTTTTTATTTTTCCCCCAGCTTTGTTGAGGTATAATTGACAAATAAAAATGGTATATATTTAAGGAGTACAACATAATTTTTTTATATGTAAACATTGCAAAAATAATTACCACAAGCAGGCTAATTAATGTATCTATCACCTTTCATAGTTACTTATTTTTTGTAGTGAAAATACTTACAATCTCCGTAATAAGGAGAAACCATGTAATATTTTTGAGCAGGTCAAATATCATCATTAAAACTATGCTTTAGGAATATATAATTAGTGACTCAATGCTTGGGAGTGTTCTAGCATCCACAGAAGTTATAGTCTAGTTGACAAAATGAAAACTGAATTCCAGATATTGCACAGCTGCGCTAGAGAAATCTGGCAACAATAACTCTAATCCTGGGTACGCAAGGGATCATCTGAGATAATTCTGAAGAATGGTTAGAAAATATTTGCCTGACTTCTCATGAAAAATCGCCTCCAATGCAGATAGTAAAAATGAGGGAGAGGGATCAATAAGAGGGTTATACATGTTGATATAGTAACTATAAACAGAGCCAGTGTTTAGCACTTTATTCAGCATGGTGTCTCAATGCTGCCACACTTTCTTTCCTCTGGTGATCAAAATAGGATGGAAACATGGGAAATACATTAGCAGTAACCTGTTAAAGATGTTTAATTATCTGTACAATGGCTGATTCTTCTTATCCCTTACTGGAAAGGCTTTCCATAATATGACACTGACTTTTAAAGAGCTTTGAGGATCTTTATGCTATATTAGCACAGCTGAAGTGGTTCTGTTGTTTAGGGGTCTTTATTAGTTAGGACTACTGCTTACACGTGTGTCCACTGATTTATTGTCCAAAAAGTTCATTTTGTATAAAACTCATTGTCCTATACCTTGTTTCCAAGTATGTATTTAAAGTGGAAGACTGAATGCTATTTGTGATAATTTGAGAGTTTGCAGATTACTTGGACACACCTTATTTTCTTATTCTCTCTAAATATTTTACTACATTTGAATCCTCAGGGTAATAGAAGTTTTCTCAGATTGATCCTACCACAGTAGTCTTGTCATTTTCAGTTCTGCAGACATTTTCCCCATAATTTCAGTGACACTGCTGAGACTTTATTGAATGTAAGGCAAAAAATTGATTTCAGTTGTTGATAGTGATGATAAATGACGTTAGCAGTTGAGTTTTCCTATGAGCTGAAACACTGATTCTATAAATTGATATGGAACTATCTAATGAGAGAAAACGAACATAATGGCCCACTTGTGGGCTTGTTACAAATAAATATTTGATAGAAAGAGACATATTTTGAAGGAAAAATGAGATTCCTTCTAAAGCTGATAGATTTTCAAATTCAAAATTATGTTTTTGTTTTGGCACAGATATGACACTTTGCACACCAGAAAGTAAAATGAGGATTTATAAATTAACTGCTTGATGTAATAATTGCAAACCTATATTAACTGAGTACTTACTGTGTGTCAGGCACTGTTCTTGGTATTTGGGATATGTCACTGAAGAAAACAGACAATGAATCCTTGCTTTTCAGGAGATATCATTCTTGGGATGAGGGTGGGGAAGAAGCTAGATCTCAACAACTGTAATAACATATAAATAAGTCATAGAGTTTTTAAGAAAGTGGTGACTATTATGGAAAAAGAAAAAAGTAGAGCAGGGTAAGGGGGTTAAATTGGGACTGCTGGGATTCGTGGCTCAGGGTGTAGACCTTGAGAAGGTCAGATGTAAGCACTTAATGGAGGGAAAAGAGCCAAGGAAATATGGAGGGAGGAACAGTCTAGGCAGGGGAAGGCCTCATGGCAGGAACATGGCTGATGTTTTTGAAGAACAGCAGAGTTCAGTATAGCTAGAGGAGATGAGTCAGGGGGAAAGAGTAGTAGGACATGAAGTCAGAGAGATAAAGGCAGGGGCTGATGCGGGGAGGGAGTGGCAGTGGGAAGACAAGATCATGTAGAGCCTTATAGCCATATACTTTGAGAGAAAGGAGGAATTTGATCAGAGAAGTAATATGATCTAAGTTTAAACAGGATCACTACAGCAATCCATCAGTTCTTATATATCTTTATAAAAATCCAGTTGTTTAAATAACTGTGTACTTATGTTCTCAGATAATGTTCTTAACCATCTTATATCTTCTAATAGATTATAACAGTCTCAATTGTAGGAACTCATTTTCTTCTTTATTTACAGCTTCCCACAGCTTTCTAAATCTATTAATGTATTCTGTATATAGTGTTCAATGACTGTAGTTGATATATTGTAAGAAGACTACCATGTAAATACAGATATCTCCCAATCTGTCAATAGACCCTCACCTTGGAGAGGGCACAGTTTATTCTTCATATCTATTTATATTTTTGAACTTTCTTATAGGGGAAGGATGATTTAAGTTCTTCCTGTCAAGCCAGTATGTTGATAATTACAATTAAACCCACCACCTAACACAATTCAATTATCAAAAACAAAGAGATTTAGTATTAGGTAACCAGAAACACATCAGCTAATGAAGTACAATCAATGCTTAATGAAATAGTTGAGTGAAATTCTGTACATTGAAGAAGAGATAAAAATCAAGTGGCCTTGTCAAGGTAAATAAGAAAAAGCACTACTCTGGAAAAGATAAACCAGAAGTATAGTTCTGATTTACTTGCCATTACGTACTTGCATCTCTTCCATCATATTTAGCACTCAAGTATAACCCTTATTTAATCTCTTATTTCCCTATAGGAACTTTGCAAGTTCTTTTCAGAATATGGAATGTGACTGGAGACTAGAATAATTTATGATAATTCTTTTCTTAAGATGCCAAATAGCAAATGTTAAAACCTCATCATTAAACGTTGTCAGAATGAATATTCATATAACTTAATTTTAAAATTAAAAGTAACCAGTTTTTAAAATTCTGAAATATTTGACTCCTTAATGTTATTGTAAGTGGCAAAATTTAGAAGTGTTTTCAAAGAATTTCCATATTTCAACTATATACAGTCCAAATAAAATACATCCTTTGATGATGTATTTTATTTAACTTATTTATTTTTCTACCTTTCACTAGGTTGTGATCACTGGATTGGGACAGCTGGGATTTACTAGAT